GAGAAGTGCAATCCTACCATGACTTTAGAAGGAGGTGTGTGAATATTGGTTACTAGTAAAATAATGACCAGCATTCTAGGCCACAGAGTATTTGTTACTTTACTTCATACACACACTAATGGGTTCTCATCAACTGAGTCTTCTTAGTCTTAAAGGAATTTATATTCTGGATAAGAAAGTAATTCTCCTTAGGGGAGAAACCACAGGTGTGGGCACAGAATTTGAGGTGGGCCTCTAAAGCAAAAGCAGTAATCTCAGGATGCGGACTGGGATGGGGAATGCGCTAGGTGAGTTGAGCAGAAAAAGCAGAGGCCTAGTTCCATGAAATGTCTTGGATTAGAAAGAAGGAAATAGGAAGTTCAATGTGACTACAAAGTAAGTATCAGGGACACTGGGAGAGTTTGACTACCTATTTTTCTCCTCCTCAAATCTCTATATTCACATTCATGCATACAGTTCCACTTCCCAACTGCTATGTGACTGGGATCCTGCAGTTCTCACCTCGCATTTCTTTACCAGATCTGTTAGCCACTGGCTATGCCACAGAGAAGGAATTAGAGTGAGACCAATGAGGAATTTAGGGTATAACATTTAAAGAATTACTTCCTTCTGATGCTGACCTTGCCATAGCTAAAACCAGGGCTAAATGCCTCCTTAAAAATGAAGCATTAGGCCGAGAGCGGTGGCACATACCTGTAATCCCAGCATTTTGGTGGTAGAGGCAGTTGGATCACCTGAGATAAGGAGTTTGAGACCAGCCTGGCCAACATGGTGAAAGCCCAACTCTAATAAAAAAATACAAAAATTAGCCAGATGTAATGGCATGCATCTGTAATCCCAGCTACTCAGGAGGTTGAGGCAGGAGAATCACTTGAATCCAGGAGGCAGAGGTTGCAGTAAGCTGAGATCGTGCCACTGCACTCCAGCCTGGGCAACAGAGTGAGACTCAGTCTCAATAAAAAAATAAAAAATAAAAAAAATAAGGAAGCATCAAAGCCAGATGGCATATTTTTTTAAAAGGTTTCTATTTTTTTTTTTAAGCATAAAATAGACAAAATAAAATCTATCCAGGACTACTGCAAATCTATAGATCAATTACTCGGGTGCTGATTTTTCTTTGCTGGCACTCCCACACACCTTACACTTCTCTATATTTGTCTGTCCTGCCTTGTGTTCCTACAGTCAGCCCATTCTTCCATACTTCCAGTTCCCAGTGGGCTCTACTGGGACTACTGCCTCCCTGAAATCCTCTGGCCCTAAGGATAGCACAGACTTCTCACTGTTGCTAGTATCTGAATGTCTCACTCTCTTTTTTTCCTCCTAAACCTATCCACACTTTTATAAAAATTTCTTCGTTAGTTTCACCTAAACCTGGGATGAATTCTCTTTTCTTCTGAGACTCTGACTGGTACACCGGTACACCCTACTTAAACCCAAGAATTGATGAATTGGCATGTGTTCCATAGGTGAAAGCTAAGGGAAACCACAGATTCCTGTTGCATTTATCCATCATGACTCATGTAGACCTTTGCCTGAGGTGAGTTTCCAGGTCAATCACATTTGTATCATCCATTATTATGATGTTCTGCTTATCTCAATGTAATGAAATATGGAGTGTGTACTTCCAGATTATGGAAGATGGCTTATCTTTTACCCTTTAATATAGCACACAAACCCATGATTTAAAATAATAATAAAATATCAAAAACTTATACTTTCCTCAACACAACCCTGAAGTTTCTCCTGAGAGGAATAAAAGCTGTTTTTCTGGCGATAAAAACCCACTGAAAAGTTTATAAAGAAAACAAACTCCCCTCGGGCAGTAATCAGTGGTCAGACAGTATCTGACAAGCACAGCAGAATTTTAGCTATTGCTCTAGGGCTGTTCTTAGTTCTGGTCAATTCCTTTGCTAACTGGAATATGAAAGGAACCCAAGTGAAAATAGTCCAGAGAGGGGGAAAATCAGAAAGATACTGTAAAACAAATTCATTATATCTGGAATATTAAGATATTTTTCTTAGAAGATTATCTTATTTTAGCCCCAGAGCACTTGAAAGTTCTGAAGATTCATTTTATGTAAAATCAAAATGATATTTTACATAACACTTATTTTAAGTTTAAAGGCTTGCTACAATGAAACTGGCACTATCATGAGCTTAAAGCAGCAGAATAAACTGAAGAGGCCTCATAAAAATATATAGGCAGCAGTCAACTGATGCAAGGGAGTAAGCTTCATGGCATGAGATCTCTGATTTGCGTTAACACCTAAATTTCTCCCGCCTCATTCTGGAATTCTCATGCAGTAGTGGTGTTTCTTCCTAGACTTTTTTCTTTTTTCTCAAAAAGGAATTGCAGTCCTATTTCCTGACTAATTAGAATGGTTTATAATTCAGTTTTGGCTTGCAGGAAGGGATTAATCTCTGTAAGAGGTGTGGGAAATTCAGTAGCTTCTTTTAGCAAGGGTATTCATGCAAACTTTGTGTTTATTTATTTAATTACTTTTATTTTGAGTTTCATTGAATAGGAATGTTTATTTTCTACAGGTTTAATTTTGATGTCAAGGTTAAAGTCTCAAACTCATTGTCTTTTGTTTATGGTCGCATTCACTCTCTTCCACACACTAACCTCCAGGTGTAAAGTAGCCATTGCATGCCTCAAAATTAAGAATCTGCCGATTTTCACATCTTCTACAAAGGCATGTAACTTGGCTAAACCCTGTATTCCCCACCACCATTAATCACTTTTACAAATGCACTGGACTCCAGAGACTCGGCTAGATGCTGCATGATATGAAAATACAAGGGCAAAGTCTTTATAGGAGTTTAGAGGATACCTGAAAACTATACCTTGTCAATAAACAACATCAGCTTAAAATAGACATCAGCATCATTGTCCTAGGAATGCAGGATTAGATGTCATATGAGCTCTCTATATAGCAAATATATATTTATAGAAAAAAATTGTTCCATTTATGCCCCTGCCACCAACCAGAGATATGATTTAGGGAAGTCTTTTTCCTGATTAACACAAGTAACATTATTTCTGTGGTTTCTTCCTGGTTTAAAACTTTGTATTACTATTTTATCCAGATTTCTTTATACCAGATATCTTGGGCATGGGGAAGGCTCTATGATTTTTACTTGGCAACATGACCACACTCTTAATTTTGAAGACGTTGAAGTAGGTAAGAATGACTTTTAGCATAGAAAATCCACTCTAAATAGAATCACTGCCCCTCTCCCACATTTTAGAGTTGACAAAATACATGAAAATATAATTTTTGTATAAGAACATTTTCTCATTTTGTATTTGGAAGATATGCAATTAAAAGTTTTATTAAACACGTCATACATTATTGAATTTATATAAGGTAGAAGTGAAAGTTATAGTGTCTCCAGTTTTTCAAATTTAAATTCCTCTGTAATCAGTTTCTTCATTCAAGATGATGAGAGACAGGGTACACACTCTTCTACCCACCTCACATTCTTAGCATATAGCAGTATAGATCATTCTCATGAGTCAGACTTTGCTGCTGTGACTAGACTTAGAGTCAGAATCAGCGTGAGATGGAGATATGAAATGGAGATAACAGGATGGATGATTAGATTTCAAAACAATGAATCCAGATATTTTTCTCATTTTTATCCCCAAATTGATTGATGGTCTTATCTCCTGCTTACCGTTCAAATCTTAACATATCTTATTTATCCCTAAAAGTCCAGTATACATATTTTCTTCTCAAAGCCATTTATGGAGGACCGAGTTCACTGGGATCTACTACTCCTGGCTCCTAAAGCAGGCACTGTCTCTTCCTCGTGTAAAGTGGCTAGAGCATACACTCTTCAATCAAATCTCTCGCCCTTACACCCTAGCAAGCCTATTCACCAGCTATGTGACCTAGGACACTTTTCAGAAACTGCTTGTTTCTCAATTTCTTCATCTGTAAAATGAGGATGATAATATGAATTACCAAGAGTTGTGGTGAGAATATCCCATAAAGTAGAACTTGGCACACAGTAAACATTAAATATCCAATGATGTTAGCTAACGTGATTTTACACCTAATAATATTCCAGGGTGTATGTCCTTTTACATAACTTGGTTATAAACGCCTTGAAATCAGTTTAAATATTCATACTTCTGGGTCTGGTGCCCAGTGCCCCAGCAGAGTACGGTGAACAGATCAGATGCCAAGCCAGCATCAGTCAACTGATACTTAGCAGTGGTTTCTGGTTTCTTTAAGACAGGGAATAAATTACAGGTGAGTATATAGTGGAATAGGTTTTGGAAATGTAGCTCAGGGACATGCTAAATGCCAGATATGCAGACTACATTAGGCCAGAGCTGAGTACACCTGCATCTGAGTTCCTCCCTTGAAAGTTATAACCTGTGCATTTGAGACAAAAGGTCTTCCCTAGCTCATTCTAGTTGTGCCTATTTGAAAGAGAAGACAAAAAAAACTCAAATTTAACTCTTGTCACAAATGTATACATTACAACAAGTACCTCTTGGTTTCTACATATTCTCCTCCTAATAAGTATACCAGCATGAGCATAATCTCTTTTACTCACATTTTTGCCAGTGAATCCACAGAAACACTGCAAGATGTCAGCATTTCTTATGCTCTTAAAACATTTGTTTTTCTCTTATCAGAACAGAAAACATGAGAGCAGCTGTTTTGAAAGTCCACAGCCCAAATGAAAGTTCATGAAGTTCCCCAGATGGCCCCAACCTGTAGAAGTGACGTTTGATAAAGTGGCCGGAGAAGCCTAATGATGATCAAAAGCTGAAAAGCACAGGTAAGAGGAATGAAGCAACAGAAATGAGGGTAACATAAACTTCACTATACAAGAGAGTAAGAATGAAATGCTCTTCTACACACACACAGATACAGACATCAGCACACACCCTCAAAAATGACTGAAGCCTGGAGACAGTTGTTTCCAGCAATAATAATTGTAACTACTTGGTAAGCTCTAATTAGGTATGAGATACTTACATGATGAATCTGCAATTCTTAAAGCAGTCTTCAAGGAAGCTGCTGTTATCTTTATCATATAAAGTTGACAATAAAGCTCAGAGAGCCTGCTCAGGCCATGATTCTAGCACATGGCTGAGCCTGGTGCCGCTTAGGCAGCTCCTGTTCCACGCAGCACATAGATCTGCATCCCACTTGGCACCTTCACACTGAGTCATCCTTTTACTTCCATTGTATGTGATTTACAGATCCACCCACAAGATAGTTTAAAAAATAAATGGCTACATTTAGTCAGTGTTTCCATTATTCTAACAAGAACCTATTCAAATGCCCCAGGGACCATCAAGCTATCCTAGACTACCTCATCAAAGCCCTATACTATATATATGCACACACACATACATATGTATTCACATCCATATCTGTATCCCTGTGTCTATCTGTATGGTTTGTATTAGTCCATTTTCACACTGCTGATCAAGACATACCCAAGACTAAGATGAAAAAGAGGTTTAATTGAACTTGCAGTTCTACATGGCTGTGAAGGCCTCAGAATCATGACGGGAGGCAAAAGGCACTTCTCACATGGCGGTGGCAAGAGAAAAATGAGAAGGATGAAAAAGCAGAAATCCTTGATAAACCGTCAGATCTTATGAGACTTATTCACTACCATGAGAACAGTATTGGGAGAAACTGCCCCCATGACTCAATTTATCTTCCACCATGTCCCTCCCACAACACATGGGAATTATGGGAGTACAATTCAAGTTGAGATTTGGGTGGAGTCGCAGCCAAACCATATCATCATCTTTTATCTACTTAACTCTCTGAGGCTGTTTATTCCTTGTCTTTCCCATTATAATCTGTCTCATCACCAAAACTATAAACTATTCACATCCATCTTTCACATAGTATCGGACAACAACTGACACGAGTTTTATATATATATATATAAAAACCGTTATAAGACAGCAAACTTAATTGACTCGACAAATACTGTGTGTGCTCTGACTACTTCACTGACCTGTTGTTTCCTTGCCTCTCTCCCTCTCTTCAGAACTCCCTATTTTCTGAGACACAACAGTATTGAAATTAGGCCAATTAAGATCCCTACAATTGCCTCTAGGAGTTTAAGCAGAAAAGGGCATACATTTTTCATTTTAAATCAAAAGCTACACATTGGGAGGCCAAGGTGAGAAGAAGGCTTGAGGCCAGGCATTCAAGTTTGGCCTGGGTAATAGAGGGAGGCCCTCATCTTTGCAAAACTAAAAAAAAAAATCACCTGTAGTCACAGCTACTTATAAGGCTGAGAGGGAAGTGCAGCTTGAGCACAAGAGTTCAAGGCTACAGTGAGCAATGGTTATACCATTGCACTCTGGACTGGTTAACAGAGTGAGGTTCTGTCTCTGAAATAATTAAATATAAACAAATAAAAAGCTTGAAATGGCTAAACTTAGTGAGAAATGTCTGCTAGAAGCTGAGATAGGCCAGAAGTTCAGATTCTTGCACCAAACTGTTAGCCAAGTTGCAAATGCAAAGGACAAGCTCTTGAAGGAAATTGAAAGTGCTACTCCAGTGAGCATGCAAATGATCAGAAGGCAAAATAGCCTCATTGCTGATGTGGAAAAAGTTTTAGTGGTCTGGATAGAAGATCAAACTGGCCACAACAGCTGGTCTAATTAAGCCAATGTCTAATTCAGGGCAACACAGGTCCTAACTCTCCTCAGTTCTATGAACACTGAGAGAGATGAGGCATCCGAAAAAAGAAAACACCTGAAGCTGAGATTGATTCTAGAAACTGCAGCAAATTATCAAGAAGATCTAGCGAAGATAATTGACGAAGGTGATCACACTAAACAACAGATTTTCAATGTTGACAAAACCAACTTCTATTGGAAGAAAATGCCATCTAAGGCTCTCATAGCTTGGGCGGACAAGTCAATGTCTGGTTTCAAAACTTCAACGCCAAGCTGACTCTCCTGTTAGGGAATAGTGCAGCTAATGACTTTAGGTTAAAGCCAAAGTTCATTTTTCATTTCCCAAATCCTAGGCCCTTTAAGAATGAAGCTAAATCTACTCTTTTTGTGCTCTATAATTGGAACAACAAAGCCTGGATAACAGCACACCTGTTTAGATAATGATTTACTAGATATTTAAAGCCCACTATTTATATCTACTGCTCAGAAAAAAAAAAGAGATTTCTTTAAAAATATTGCTGCTTGTTCATTATGTACCCAGACACCTAAGAGCTCTGATGGAGAGGTACAAGAAGATTAATGCTGTTTTCACACCTGCTAACACAACCCCCATTCTGCCCACCATGGATCAAGAAGTCATTTCAACTTTCAAATCTTATTATTTAAGAAATACATTTTATAATGTGATAGGTGCCATGGCTAGTTATTCCTCTGATGGATCTAGGCAAAGTAAATTGAACACCTTCTGGAAAGGATTCACAATTCCAGATGCCATTAAGAACATTCATGAATCATGGGATGAGGTGAAAATATCAACATTAACAGGAGTTTGAAAGAAGCTGATTTCAACTCTCACAGGTGACTTTGAGGAGTTCAAGACTTAAGAGGAGGAAATAACTGCTGATGCGATGGAAGTAGAAACCAGAACTAGAAGGGATGCCTAAAGATACAACTGAATTGCTATAATCTCATGATAAAACTTGAACAGATGAGTTGCTTCTTATGAATGAGCAAAGAAAGTGGTTTCTTGAGATGGAATCTACTCCTGTGAAGATGGCTATGAACATTATTGAAAAGACAACAAAGGATTTAAAAGGTTACTTAAGCATAGTTGATAAAGCAGTTGGCAAGGCTTGAGAGGAATGACTTCAATTTTGAAAGAAGTGGGTGAAGTGCTATAAACAGCCTCACATGCTACAGAGAAATCTTTCATGAGTGGAAAAGTCAATTGATGTGGAAAACTTCATTGTTATCTTATTTTAAGAAATTACCACAGCCACCTTAACCTTCAGTAACTACCGCCCCTGATTAGTCAGCAGCCACCAACATCAAATCAAGATACTCCAGTAGCAAAGCGATTGAGACTCACTGAAGGCTCAGATAATTGGTAGCAATTTTTAGCAATAAAGTATTTTAATTAAGGCATGTACATTATTTTTTAGGCCTAATGCTATTGCACACTCCATGGATTATAGTGTAATCATAAATTGTATATACATTGGGAAACAAAAAGAATTTTGTGACTTGCTTTATTGCAAAATTCACTTTATTGCAGTGGTTTTGTAACTGAACCTGCGAGATCTCAGAGGTATGACTGTAATTGAAAGCAAATACAATTTTCTTTCCATGGCGTTTCTACCGCTTGTGATATCTTTTCCTTCACCACCCTCTTTCTCTTTTTTGAAATAAGCAGTCACTTTAGACCAAAGTTATTATCTTTCCCCTTACTGAACAGAAGCAGATTACATCACTTCACCTACGAGGTGATAGTTCTCTGCCTCTATTGTTCCTAGCGCATGTTCATTCACTTAAGTAACTATAATTTTTAACTAAAGTAACTTCTATTTCACAGAGAAAAATAAGAGGTGGATAATAAATGCATGCACGTATTATATTTAACACTGATAAATCAGATTACACATAGCTGTTTTCATTAAATCAGAAAGATTAAACTGGTCTCATTTGCCAAAGACTTATCTATACTCTGTTCCCTTGATTTCTTTAAGTATTTTTAAGCTGGTTTATATAAAGATACCATTTATTGTAATACATTTAAAGTATTAAAGTTCAATTTTCTGGAAATTTTAGGAATATTCAATTGATGTGTATTTATCTGCAAACTAGAACGAGTTCCTTTAGGAGACTTTTTAGGTTAATCTATCAATATCACATGGAAATTGGAAAACACTACACATTCATACAATCTGTGGTAAAGGTGGTAAAGGCTTTTCCAAGTTATAGACACAAGATATACATATAGCTAAAAATAGACCACTTCACTTCTAAGGTTTAGCCAAGGATGCAGAGCAAATAAAGAACCACAGAATCTTACTGGTCCATCAGAAACTGATCCTCTTCTCACCGGAAAAAATCTTCATTGTTTAGAGCTAAAAATAGGTAATCGAAAAAGACTAACAAACTAGATTCTCTGTGTCTGTTATTTAACAGAGAGTAAAAATTACCAAGTGGTCAGACCATGAAACACACCTCTTAATCAATAAAATTAATAAACCAGAGTATCTGTTGTCTCTTACCCAACAGGGACCAGATCTCTCTAAACAATTAATCCTCATACAGATATTATCAAATAATCAGTCAATAAAACCAAATACCCAAATATTGCTGCCAGCAATCAGGAATAATTTATTGGCTGAAAACAAACCAAAACCAAAGACAAAACACAAAATTAGTAGAAAGTAAAATTAAAATTAGATAAACAGAGAGTCATTAAAGTTCCTTCACCTCTTTGAAGTCACCTCTGGGAGAGGAGAAAGGATGTACTTTTTCCCAAGATGCTCACCTTTGGTGAGGAAGGTTACCTGGCCATGGTTGGAGAATCCACTGGGCATATTGGTGGAAGATCTCCAAGCTGTTAAAAGACAAATTTCAAAAAGGTGCGATCATGACTCTCTTACAGATAGAAAAACGAACATGTGTTAAATATTTGATGTTTCTCATATGAGAAAATCAGGAAGGTACTACGACTTGTTCAAAGGAAAATTCAAAGAAAGCATAGGTTCATATTAAATTACATATAGATGCAAAACTGTTTTTTGTTTCCTGGAGTAGGAGAGAAGTCAATGACTACTCTATTGGAAAAGATAGTTTGCCAATTTATCAGTTACCTACACTTTACAAATAGGTACAAAATAGCTCAAAGATAATTAACAGGGCCACAACTGGAGAGTGTATGAACGTGTGCTATAGGCTCTGATGTGCAGCTCATATGTATCATTGTATAAAACTCACTAGCTACTCAGTGTGGTGTAAGAATGTCACTGTTATCCCCATTTTATGGATAGCAAAGCAAATAAGGTAAGAGCTCAGGGTAACAATTTACATTCAGGTTTTCAACCACAATGATTGATGGTCTTTGTCCCTCTGTACTAGGCCTATACTAGGCCCTGTGGAGGATGTAAAATAGGTAAAACTCTGGACTGATGAACTTTACAAGT